TACGTGTTTGACGGAATTCGGGAAAATAATGGGGTCCATAATTGAAGAATTTCAACTTAAAATTAAAAGTGGCCTGAATAACCCTGTTTTTTCGTTTCGTCCCTGTCTAATCGCAGCCGCCTCACCCGCCGACCCGGTTGCTTCGACCGGCCAGACTTGCACCTCATATGGATTGTTCCGATGAGAAGCTTATACCACATGAAAATAGGGCTTGTTCAGCTACTACCAACCATCCTATGGAAAGTTCTTCCTTCTAGATCTTCGTTGCTGTTTTGAAGGGACAGTGGGTGCTTTAGGAGCACCTTGATCATGACGTTGACTTTAGAGGACTTTCATCGGAACCCATGGCTTTGGACAACGTCTTCAGCCAGATCGGATTGTTGCCGAATAAGGCCCTGGTAGCCCTGTAAACTCCCCCCAGTCCCTTGTTATTGAGTTGACGTTGAACTTCGGATGTCATCGAGTAATTCCAAGTCGCATGTTTGGTGGTCATCCAAATGCACGCTACGAAAGTACTTGCAGGTACTAAGCACTTAAAAGCGGCGGCGTTCCGATAAAACGCGACGGACTGCCTCGGGCCAGCCAATCACAGCAGGATACCTTATCTTCGAGACGTGCTTTCCCAGTGGGCTCTAGCGCTCCGGCTGGGCAGACTATGTGCCACCATGCACGGCATTCGAATTCGCTCTGGGGGATTATGGAGAGTCCAAGAGCGCGTCCGGAGACGATGCCACTCGGTATTCAGTGCTTTTACGTTTCTACGCCATCTGAGTACGGAAGGAACGCAGGTGTCCTAGATCCTGAGAGAGCAAATCACAACCTCACTGTCCATCCCGCTTCGCCCCCCTCTCCCCTCCCCCCCTCCAACTCCCTCTCCGCCTCTCCCGCCTTCCGTTTCTTTCCCCCCTTCCTCTTTCCTCCCCTTCTTCCTCTTCCCTCCCCTCCCCTCTCCCTCTTTTCTCCCCTCCCAGTTAAACTGCTCCGTCCACCGCCCCCGATTCGATGCGAGTGTAGAACCATTTAAACGTGTCTTCCGATAAACCACGCGACAGCACACCTTCCTTCCTCCGGCTCCTCCTCCTTCTTGCTTGCCTACAGAACCCATAAACTTAGCTCTCCCTTGCCCTTCCTTTACCATTCCCGCCCGCTTAACTTCTTCCTCCTCCTCCCCCTTCCTCTCCTCTCTCATCTTTCTCACCTCCTGTTGATACCTACCTCGCGGCACCCAATCATTCGCTATCGCCGACGCTGCTGTCCTTACCTGCGAATCGCAAAATGTACACCCAACCGCAACCACCAGTACGACGCCTGAGCACTCAATCCATTCATTCCACCCATTCCGTCCATTCCACCCATTCGTCTCCCCGAACTTCTCCGCCAGGAACCGCAATCGGGTATCAACACATTGTAGTGCCATGCCGACAGTTGCATCCCCCCAAGTCTCCTCTCTACCGTCCCGCCGTCCTACGTGCAATCGATCACGTCAGTCGTCCCAACACCGCCGCTTCCTCACCTTCGACCTCTCCAAAGAGCATGAGTTCGGATATGTTTGGCGATTTGAAGCGGGAGGCTGAGTTTGAGGATGACTTCGAGGACGCGATTGGTGATGATATCTGTGAGGAGGAGGATGCGGGAAGGGTTACAGGTCCTCCGAAGAGAGCGCACTGGAAGGTATTTATGATTCGCTTTGCCTCGTTATCCCTGGTCTAGTGGTTTTTATGGGAACCTGGATGGGTTGACGACTCATTGTACTCGTCTTGCGTGCTTGTACAACGTGATTCGCTGACAACATTGTGTGCTCATAGCCAGATGCTGAAGCTACCGTTTGCGACTCGCCAACTTGTATCAAGCAATTTTCATTCTACATCCGTCGGCATCATTGTCGGAGGCAAGTTTCCATTACTATTTTGCCGCTGCTGCTGCGCACTCGCTCGCTAACTGATGTCTAAGATGTGGCAATGTATTCTGTTCGCAACATGCCTACCACTTTCTCCCTCTGAACCAGAACAACCGTGTTCATCCTCAAGGCATTTCCTCTAGAGTCTGCAGTTCCTGCTATTCCAACTACAAGCGGCTTCGTGCCGCCCGCCGCACAGGATCCATGAGCTCCAACTCTACTATTTCGTCTATTTCGAATTCCCCACCAAGAATAGGTATGGGCATCAAGCCAATTCCGAGGCCTACCGATGGAATGGCAGGACTCGCTGGAAAGGTCGGCAGTTATGTCGGATCTGTTCCGAGGGATTGGAGCTGGTCGACATTTTAAGCAAGCACTCGTACTACCGACCATTAATTCTGGAGAAGCGCTTCAAGACGGACCGTAGTGGTTCTGGAGGGAGGATTGACTTTACCCATACAATACCCCTCACTCCTGTGGCGGCTGGACGCATACCACCCATCTGCCCCCAACCCCTTGTCAACCTTTTCTTCCTTCTATTCGTTTATAGACTTTAGGGCTGAGCGTTTTTGGCGTTGATATATTTTTTTTTCTCCTATTTATGATTCCGACGCAGGGGACGTCGTGGGGTCAGGTTTCTGTGATATGATACTTCTAGACTTTTGGTGATTTTTTGGGATTTTTTGCGTAAGATGGTTCTGGCGTTATTTGATGGATTTTTTTTGTGTTTGATTCTTTGTCTTGATATAACGTAGATCAGACGAGACGTATGGGGGTTCGTGTAATATAGTAACGAAATGTGTGTGGTATGTCTACGTGTTTGCTGAAGATGGTGATCCCGAACCTGTGCCAGGGCCGCAAGTACAACAAGTGTAGTAGTGCCCTTAAAGACATGCTCAAGTTGAAGAGTTTGTGGACATTTCTTCCTTCCCTCTACAAAGTAACTCTTCGAGTCTGGATATTCTGAACGCGCGCAGCTGTAGATTGCATGTGCGGACGATCTCGCCAGCTCAGAATCCGCCCCACCTTACCGAAATGTTCCACATCTGGCGTCTCGCATAATCGCTCATGAATTCGCACGCTAACAAACATCAAAACAACGAGAGGTACAGTTACATACAGGACGTTGTCCTTTCCACCAATCATAACAGCTTGAATCCCTTTCCCCCCAAAGATCTGTCCCGGCTAAACTGTTCCTCTCCACAAGAAGGTAATCGATCGGAATACTTAGCTGTGTGGGCTCAGCCACAAGTTTTAGCGGGGTATGTGTGGCTAATCTAGCTAGCTAACTCTAAAACACGTTAAAGTTATTGTTTCCTTCAGCGCGTCTCCCCCTCCACAAACACGTTAGCCAACTATGTCCACCTCTTCCGATCCACAACCACCAGAACCACCACCACCACCACCACCACCTCCACCACCACCTCCACCACCATCACCACCACCACAAGAAGAACAAGAACTGAACTCTACCCCCGCCTCCCAACAGCTCCACCAAGAATCCTCTACCGCTGCCGCTACCGCCGCCGCCGAACCCCAAGAACCCGATGGCCCGCGTTCCCAACGCCTCCGCGCCGTCTTCCAAAAAGCCCTCTCCAAAACCGTCGCAACCTGTTCCTACGAAAACTTCTCACAATGTTTCCCCACCACCGCCGCTGCACAACCACAACTCCTTCACTCCCTCCATGCAGCTATGGTCAAGAACATCACCGAGAAATCAAATGTCCCCCCCCCCTCCCATTTCCCCCCCTTCTCCCCCTCTCTAACTAACAAAAGGTGGGGGAAATAGATCGAATTCGAGAAAATCCTACAAGAACGGAACGTAATCCCTAAGCTGAACGCGTTGGACCGTTTACTAAGTGAAGCGGAGAAACAAAAGCAAGAAGCAGGACCGGGGGAGATACCGGTTACGCCATCAACGTTGCCACCCGTACTGGTTGTAAGCGCGCATTTGACGCCGATGTTGAGGGAGGCGCAGGAGAAGATCGGGGCGTTGTTGAAGGAGATGAGGGAGAGGAATGATGGGTGTATACAGGAGATTGTGAGGCAGAGGGAGGAGATGAGGGATCTTGTAAGAAGACTGGAGGAACCGAGGAGGGCGTTTGAGGAGGCGGTGGAGGAGGTGGGGAAGGCGGCGATGGAGGTCGATTTATAATGGAAGTGTCCCTCCCCCTTGGGGTTTTTGGGAGGAGAGGGGGGTTTTTGTTTGTGGGAGAAATTTGTGGGATTTTGTAAACACGAGAAGAATGGAGAGGGTGAGTTTTGGTATAATTCTTTGGCCATGGGGTGGATTGGTCGGTCTTGAGCAAGTGATAGAGGTGGCTGTGAGTGAGAAAAGGCCCACCCCAACGACAGTTAGAGCATAACCCCAGAATGGATGTGATGTTATAATGTGGGTTTTCTTTCAGTTATTAGGATCTCAGTTGATAAAGTAGTTAGGCCGTCATACTTTAATACCGGAATATACAGAAAGTGCCGTGGGTGATAGCTTATGAGCTGGAGTGGTTCTTGGAGTACGTCATCACGTGGTTTGGAGCGCAAAGCCGCTTGTATTTAAGTTCTTGTGTACGACTTAGATAGTCAACAACGAAGGTTTGGTACAACAGGTATCACCGCCCTGTACGAGCCTAGTGACAAAAATCCCTGGATACCCACCGTTGGCAGACCTCAATACTCAACGCCACAACAAGGGCAGCAAACAGTAGATCAATTACATTGGGAAAGATAGCTTTTCATTCGCTTGTGTATTCATTGTGCGGGGTGTGGTAGATGGTGGAAGATACTTGCTATGCACTAGGGTGTCCGGCGATTTTTGTCACCAAGCTCGTACGTACATTCAACTCCTACCATTACAAAAGACGGTGCATGGGCTCATCATAAACTATTTGAGCCGTATTGAGTGGTGGGGATCCTGATTCTTGGTTTTACAAGACTACGGATATATCGGTGAGAAGATACATAGAGAAGTAGAGAGGGAGGAGGAGGAACAGCAAGAGGGAGAGCTTGAAATAGAATGTAAGCCTAATGAGTACGATTACCCTTGATCCATGCTGTGCAGCTGCTTACTGCAATATATAGACAGTTACGGTGGCAAAGACATCAATCCCCCGTGGCGCAATTGGCTAGCGCGTCCGACTGTTAGAAACATCTGCGATCGGGAGGTTGGTGGTTCAAGCCCACCCGGAGGAGTTTATTTTTGATGTTTGAAACTTTTTTTGTTTGCCAGGAACCGTTTGTTTGCTGAGGATGAAACCTTTTTTCTATGCGAATAGGCTTGGCAGATATTTTGTTTTGCGGGTGCAGGAGTAGAAGCGGGAGTAGAATGCAAACAAGCTGCTCGTACGTATGTATATAAACAGGTACAAACAGAGAAAGATGTGATTATTTAAATCATACCATGGCCATCCCAATTCCTAAGCCCGTAGCCAGCAATGGAAACCTGAGTCAGTTTCTAACTCTTTGTAGTAGGTACTGTATATCTCGGCGGCCGCTCCAATGACATCGCGGCCTTCTAAGTTCGTCCCATCCCCGCTTCAATGACATTCCCGTAAGCCCTAGCCATCACCCACATAAATAGCTCCTCTCCTGCTGCACTTAAGAAGTAGCCAAATATCTCTACCGACGAAAGATCCAGTCCACAGCTGCAACTCCTTTGGACAGAGCCAGTGGCTTCTGAGAGAGTGGCATGGGCTTGGTTCCCGAGGGGGAAGGGTTGGGGCGCTTCGTTTGGAGGATGAGGATGCAGGTCATTCTCGTTCTGGGCATGCCCGCTTTGGGTATTCTCGCTCTGGGTCTGTTGTGCCATCTAACGCTGGGTATTCTCGCTCTGGATCTGTTATTCCATCTAACGCTGGATATTTTCACTCTGGGTTTGTTGCGCCATCATCATCCGGTTTATCTCTCGCTCCATCTCGCTCCATCATCCAGTATATCTAATGCTGGACATTCTCGCTCCGGAAATTCGTACTTGGGGCATTCTCGCTTTGGGCATTCTCATTCTGGACATTCTCGCTCCGGGTATTCTCACTCCGGGTATTCTCGCTCTGGATCTGTTGCCCCATCTTCTAGTTCATCTCGCGCTGGATCGGTAGTGCCGTCGATGGCACGATCCAGAAGTTGGGCCTCTTCAGTTGCTCCTGTTGTGGAGATTCCACCCTACGGCCTCGAAGCTGCGATTGCTGGGGCTGCTCTAGGGTCTGTGGCCGAGTTTGTGGAATCCCAGGGCGGATACGTGGAATCGGACGGTTACGGGTATGACAGCGGATTGGATGGTTCCGATTCAACCATCATGCTTCCCCCTCATCATCGAGGTTACTAGTTCCGAGTCCGCCGTAATTGCATTCTTTCTCGCTGCGGCTTTTGAGTCGCTTACCGCTGGTTTTGAGGTGCTTACTGCTGGTTTCGAGGCACTTGCTGCTGGTTCATGGCCGCGAGAAAGGTGCTGGCGGATTTTCCATGTACCTGTATATAGCTGTAATATAGATGGAATTTGTTGGGATATGGACTGACTGTTATGTTCTCGTCCCGTGTGGCTTTTTGTGAAGTAAATAAGGCGCTCATCAAATACACAATATGGTGTAGCTGTTGTTTAAATTCATCTCAATCCCACAGCATCCTGTTCGTGGGATTGTACGCAATTGCTGTTGTGCGAAATCTGTGGTCAAGCGATTGGATTCTCCCTACAATGAGTATGCGAATGATGCTTTAGCGTATGGTAGTTGAATGGGAAAAAAGTCCAAAGTGTGCTATGTTTAGTGTGGCTTAAACAAGAGTATATAAAAGTTCCGGCTATGCAGTCATATAGTTTCGTATGTCTACATATGTTTCAATATGCCTTCACATCTGGAATTGTACGCGGGAGATCGATTATTCTTGTTCTCATTGAAGCCGTTTCTTGCCTAAAATTGGTTTTTTTAGCACTCGTATATCATCCTTAAACTTATAGATGGGTTTTATTACAAGATAAGTCTTGATGTGGTTTATATGGGTGAAAACGTCTTTCAATAGGTTTATAGGCTAATTATTTCGTTGGCCTCCCAGAAGAGTGATATACAATGTCATCACACATTCTTGAGCCTTGGTGGACTCATATGGAAGGACACGAAGTATAAAAATATTTATTTACTATGCGCACCGGAAAGCGATAGCTCATCTCCAGATAATTCAGGTCATGCTCAATCACTCAAAATTTGAAGATGGCGTCTGTTACTTATGAAAGACACCTGCTTGTATATTATGTGTACTTATGAATAGAGAGAGATCATCTCGAGGCTATATACACTATACAGTGTGTGGGTATGCGTGGGATCAACAAGCAGTCATAAGTGCAAGTGCATCTTTGGATGTAACAAGGTCAAAGTCTTCCTGGATTTAGTGCTCCAAAAACCTGCCTGTCACGTTCGAACGTTCATTATGAGAGGGTTGCTGCAGCGTCGGTCGTTCAATGATTCCTAATCTCGAAGACTGTGTACCACCTGGTGCGCTTGTAGTAGTGTCGCCATACATTCCACGATTTACGTCGGCCTGAATACAAACCAACTATCCCTTTGCCCTGCAAGAAAGGTGAATCTATCGGGCAGGTTGGGACTTATTTCAGCCCAAGATTTTCTCTATTTGTTGTTTCGTAGCTCGGGCTCTCGCTAATTCATTCCGCTCCTGCCTTGATCACCGTGCACCTCAAAATTACCATCATCACATGCCATTAGTAGCATTTGCTATTCTTGTCCTACCTTTCAACTACTTGCAACCTTTGGATATTACAAGGTAGTTATTCTCTAAGTTGCTGGTTTTCTTCATGCATTTACTTTTGACCAGTACTAACGGTCTCACAGGTTCTCTCCTTCATCTAAAGCTCTCCTATCTATGTTGGCGGTTCCGAATGGCAACTTAAGCACTCCTCAATTCCGACATCACCCTTCAAATCTTCACGACAATCATGAGCCCCGTAATTAACATATCCCGTGAAGGCGACGTTATCCTGCAGGTCTGGTACGACCACAAATGCACCTGGTTTCAAGTGTCATCACAAGTTCTTGCTGCGAGCTCTCCCGCTTTCACAGCTATGCTCGGGCCTTCATCTCCATATCTTGAGGCAGTAACCTTACGGAATCCAGCACGCTGCGAACCCGTTCAGATAGCTTTGGAAGACGCCCACCCCGATGCAGTGCAAATCATTCTCAATGTCATACACCTCCGCAATTCTTATGTTCCCCAGGCCTTGGAGTTCAGCGACATGTATGAAGTCGCTAGGTTGTGCGATCGATATTTCCTTTACGAGGCACTACAACTTGCTATCGAGATGTGGAGTACGGATTTGCCGAGCACTGATTCAGAGGGATTTACTATGATGGGATGGGTTTTCATCACTTGGACGTTTTACCTGCAGACCGAGTTTATGCAGGCCACTGGGGCGCTTATTATGGTGGCAAAAATAGATCCCTTTCGTCCCCGGCATATTATGATTGCTCCTATGTATGGTGACGCTGATATTCCGGAGGTAGTCCTTGGTTGGTCCTACCTATCTCTATTTGGTAGGGTACATCATGTTCACGCTTGGTAGACAAGATTGCAGTTCATCGAGCTATATTCTGTCACCAAATGAAGTATTGGCTATCAAAATACACTCAACTTGAACATCAAAACGAGTGGATGGAAAAATATACCTCTTGCTCGGAAGAATGCAACATCTATCAATGGCATGAATTGAGAATGATGGGCTCTGCGTTATTACAGTCTGATGAATTGTGGGAGGGCAGCCTTAAGGATATCTGTGAAGCTCTTCTCACTTTGAAAAGCGATGATCTATATCAGGACGGGATCAAACATGTGGAGAAAGACCATTCGTGGAATATAGGCCTCCAAGAAACAGTGAAGGAAAACATAGTACCCGCGAAAAGGGGATTGAGGTTGTCGTGGTTTAAATCTCGTGCAACGGCCAAGTATAGTTTGTTATGAGTTACTAATGGGAGTGACTTTTGAATTGTTGTTTGATGGGAGTAAGTATTACATTACCTATTATTCCTATAGGCCTGGGAATGATTAGATGCGCAGTTAAGAGGAATTCGAGTAGTATTGGTGTCAAATAACAAATTCATTCCATCCATGGTCGGGAGGCAGGAGGTGATCCCACTGTTTGTGAACTCGTTCCAACTTTGATAGTCTCAGGCTTCTCGAGGATTTATACCACTCATCGTAGATGTAGACATCGAACACGGCAAGACGCTGAAGAATTCCAGACGAGGAGACGAGGAGACGAGGAAAGTATACTTTTTAGATTTATTACTGCAATTTTCTCATCTCGAACACGGGAGGTGATAAAGATTCAAGGCGGTATGTCTACTACCGAGTTATTTGAGGATGTACTCTACTTATACGAACTCCTGATCATTTAACTTCACTCGGATAAAGCAATATAAGATGGACTGAATCCAATTAACCATATTCTATTCAATGACATAGACAGGCCAACCCAGTTGTTGATGCGTATGCTCTTGTGCGCTATGACACAATAGGGAAAATCAACATATCATGGTATATATAAAATAAAATACTGTAGTATCAATACACGCAAGAGAAATTTGTCCCTCCTTCACCAGAACACTTCTCCACGCATCAACCTCCTTGCTGTTCTCTCAATAGCAACGCTCTTCAATTCCTGCCCCTCAAACTTCGCCCTAACCCCTACCACACCGCCTGGGATTCCGATCTTGATTGCAACGCCATCTCCATCTATTACGGCGTTATTATTACCTCTTAAAATGCCGTGTACGATGGTGCTATCCATTCCTGCCGCGGCCGCGAGACATAGCGCAACGGTACAGGGAATAGCCTTATGGGGTGCACCCATACTCAGTGCCCTCGCAACAAGATCATACCCCTCGCTCTCAGGTGAACCCACAATGCAGATTTTGGGCTGTGCCTGAACGTGCGGATCCATACCCATAAGCACAGCTGCTTGTCTCCTAATATCTTCCAGCATTGACAGTGGCAACGAAGCGTCATTGATCCACGAGGATTTCGCACTACCACCACCAAGAACGCTGTTCACATCCACAAACACCGTTGGGTTCGTCGCATCAACGCAACTAACCTCTACCTCCTTCCCACCCCCCACCATAACCCGATCCGTTGCCTTACCAGAAGGCAACAACCTCCTCGTCTTTGCCCCAGCAGGATTCAAAAACTCTAGC